AGAAATAAAGGAAGGGAGCCCTCTTTGTTTTTCCTGCTCCTTGCGGGTGCCCAGCCTTTGCAGTGAGGAAGGGCAGTCCAAAAAATAATAATAAAAATACAGGGTAAGGATGGGGAGCTGGGGAAGCGGGTGACAAAAATATAACAAGTGTGTCCAAGTCCTCGCATGTTGTCTTTTGCAAAACGCTTTGCAAAAAGGGGCAGTGGTGGATGTAGGATAAACCTACAAGGGCCCTCACCCCAGAATATCTGGTGGCATCATCTTACTCCAGTAATGAAGCCGACTGTGGAGTCCGGTACTCTTTGTGTGTTTGTGTGTTTAAGCATCTAGCCTTAAAAAGAGTTTTAGAGAAGACTCGAAAAGAGAATGCTCCAGTATGGATTTGGATATTTTGCTCTGCTTTTTTTTAATGGGTTCCCCGCAGCTACCCTTGTAGGTGGGAAATGAATGTAGGATAGGTGAATTTTAAAAAGGATTTAATCTGAGCTGAGGGTAAGGCTACTATTTCCTCTCCTATTTTCTTGGCAAAAGTTCCATGGTCATTTAAGAAAACATGGTGCAATTTCAACATGCACAACCCAAATGAGTTTTTGCAGTGGTGATATGGAAGTGACAACATTTGCATTTTTATCATGCAGCCACTGAGGTCTTTAATTTGTTCACAGTAGCAGCGTGCTACAGGTGATAGTTGTAAAGAAAAGGATGCACTTGTGCATGTGCAGAGTGTTGTTTTTCTTTCCTCACGGACAAATGGCAACAGCCTTTGTTCCATCTGCAAGACAGCCACTAGATGAAATGAATATAGAGGGGTGTGGATGAAAGCATGCCACCTGGTATAACTTTTCTTTACAGTTAAGTATAAGACTGTTTCTTTCTGGCCCAGACCAAAAGGTCTTTCTAGCTTTGCACTTTGTTTCCTACAGGTGCTAAGCAGATGTTTTTGTGAAGGTTCAAAATTCAGGCTTGAAAGTAATAATCTTCCTATAGTTTCTCTCCAACACATTAATTTTCAAAGGCACCGAGCAGGAATCATAGTAAGGCAGAGGTCTTTACCTACCTTGCCACTTGATGTCCTTTTAAAACAGGAAATATTGTCAGATGATAGATAGAAGAGTCCCTTGAAGATTTGCCTTAGGGACTGCCTGAATTTGGAGAGAGAAGACCAGGCTATGGAGGAAGGAAATGAGCCGTGTAGTGGCTACATGGTGAGCGTGAAAGAATCTCGTTGAATCCGGTGCAGACCGTTACAGCTTGATGTGATAGATCCAAGTACTGGTGAAGCCATGTCAGTGCCGGATGGGAGGAGAGGAAGTTGCTTAACTTTATGACAAAAAGGGAAGTATTTGTGAAAACTGAGCCAGGAAGATTGAAGGATGCTGAGCCTGCAGAGTCTAATTTGGGATATTACTAGTTGTCTTAAATAACTTATGTTTTAAAATTATTTTATACAGCTTTGCAGTCCGTCCTGAGATCCTTTGATAGAGGGTGGGCTGTAAATGTTTTACATTTTAAAAAATATGCTAACCTTATGGACGAAATCTTCAAGGTTCATGTGCTTAGAACTATGGTTCTCTGTCTTTAATATCTTTTTTCCCACCAATCATTCCATCAATGAACTTGGGTCCTACCAGAAAAGGACAGAAAAGCACTTTTTCTAAGAAGGACATTTGTATGCTTATGGACGTAGAGTATTGTTATTCTGTTTATCACTCAGTACATTGTTAGGCAGGAGGAGGCAGGGATTAGGAGAAAGGCAAGTGTCTACATTAGCTTTTGTTATTTAGTCGTTAAGTCCAACTCTTCGTGACCCCAGGGACCAGAGCACACCAGGCCCCCTTGTCTTCCACTGCCTCCCAGAGTTGGGTCAAATTCTTGTTGGTAGCTTTGGTGACACTGTCCAACCCTCTTGTCCTCTGTCGTCCCCTTCTCCGCTTGCCTTCACACTTCCTCATCATCAGGGTCTTTCCCATGGAGTTTTCCCATGAGATGGCCAAAGTACGGGAGCCTCAGCTTCAGGATCTGTCCTTCCAGTGAGCACTCAGGATTGATTTCCTTCAAAATGGATAGGTTTCTTCTCTTTGCATTCCAGGGGACTCTCAAGAGTCTCCTCCAGCACCACCCTTCAAAAGCATCAGTTCTTCGGTGGTCAGCCTTCATTATGGCCCAGCTCTCACTTCCATACATTGTTACTGGAAAAACCATAGCTTTGACTATGCGGAGCTTTGTCGGCAAGGTGATGTCTCTGCTTTTTAAGATGCTGTCTAGGTTTGTCATCGCTTTCCTCCCAAGAAGCAGGCATCTTTTAATTTTGTAGCTGCTGTCACCATCTGCAGTGATCATGGAGCCCGAGAAGGTAAAATCTGTCACTGTCTCCTATTTGCCAGGAGGTGATGGGACCAGTGGCCATGATCCAGTTTGTTTGTTTTTTATGTTGGGCTTCAGACCATTTTTGGCACTCTCCTCTTTCACCCTCATTAAGCGGTTCTTTAATTCCTCCTCACTTTCTGCCATCAGAGTGGTATCATCTACATATCTGAGGTTGTTGGCTATGCAGCTAGTAGCAACATTAGCTACTAGCATGCTAAAAGACCATTATTAGATAATCCCTGGAGGTAGGGCTGCTATAAGATGGTCTCTTGTGAGATGGCATGGGAATTGCAGGTCCATTCTTGGTCATTGTCCTAAAAGACCTTTGTCATCTCCACCTTGTCCGTAGACTGTTTCTAGGTCTCACCCGTTTTATAAGTCTATTGACAACCATTGATTCATAGCAGCTCTGTGAGGTAGGTCACTGTTCTTCCTGTTTTATACTTGTGAGCTTGAGAACATAATGTCAACCAAGTCATATAGGGATATGAGTTGATTGGAAGTTAAAACTAAATGTTTTGTGTCTTTGTCCCGGAGAGAAGAAACTTTTGTCTAATAGGCAGGTCATTTTATTCTTCATCTGGTGCTCTGGAGTTGGAGCTTTATATTTTGACCTCTGCTTTAATGGGTAATCAAGCTCCATGCAGGAACTGGTGCATTAAATAACAATGTGTGGGCCGTCAGTTACTTTATCCACTGGAGCACATTTATGTTGAAGTGGTTCTCTATGAGAGGGCTGCCTCTGGCATCCCAAGCATGCTGGCTGGCTGGCTAGCTGGCTGATCTCCCCTGGAACCTTCTGGAAGGCCTATGGATGTGGCAACCGCCAGGCCTCAAGCTGGAGCTTGGGTTATTCAGCCCACCCAAGAGCAGGAGACAGATGCAGGGAATAAGATGCACCAGGAGGACAAGTGGGAGCTGAGCTTTGTAGGCATTTAGGGGCTATAAAGGTTGAAAGGAGAGGCCCAAGCCTGAGGTGGGTGTCAGCCAAGAAGGCTGACACCAGGGACTCGGAGAAGGAGGAATACAGGGGTGACACTGAAGAGGAGCTTGCACCCTCTTACTTGGCCAAGGACCACTTTCAATGTGTCTTCTGAAGAGACCCACAGACTGGAGTCCTAGTGGAGCTGCAAATCTCTAAGGGCCCTTTCCAACCCGTGACCCCAACAACAGCCACCAACATGCTTGGACTGCCACCAGCTAGCTCTTCTTCCACCCCTCCAAACACAGTAGAGGCTGGAGATGCCAGCGCCAATGCCATCACCAACACCTCCAGTGCCTCTAGGAGGGGTCAGTCTGAACACAGATCTAGATTCAGCAAAGAACTACAAGCCCTCCCTGATGGGGGCAAGGGGTCAAAGCTGTTTCTGGGGGCTGTTGGCTGCTCCCTGGTGCCTGTTCCACCCGACCCCAGTAAAGGCAACTGGAGGTCCAGAAAAGACTGAGCCAATGAGGGGACTGAAATTTGGTCGCTCAAAGACAGGATAGTGAGGGGTTGGTGTTGGGGAAAACCTGGCTGTAGCCTCCGATTTCTTTCCAATGAAGGCAGAGTTATAGCCCAGGGATATCTGAATGGAGGAACGGTTGCCCTCCTCCCCTACTGTTAGAGAGGGCAGTGATGGTCATAGTTTCCCAAGTTTATTTCACCGAGAAGAACGTGCATCAATTCTACTGGCAGCTTAAGAAGCAGAGTCTGAAAATGTAGCACTTTTGGGGGGGCTTGAAATTCTCAGAACCTCCAGCCAGTGGACATGCAGGTTAGGGAATTGTGGTCTCAATTAGACTTTTCCAAGATCTGTTAAGAAGTGCATGTTTTTTACATCTAAAAAAATGTTGAATGTTTTGCCTCCAGATGTTTCTCAGCCTTAATTTATGATGTGGAGTCCCATGACAATGTATTTTTGAAAGTGTCTTTAAAAGAGCAGTTGTCACGTTAGAAATGATTGTTGGAAGGGAGAAATGGAACCCATTATAGAATGTGAACACAAAAATACACAGTTTAATAAATCCTTTCTGGTTGATCATTTTCAGATACATGAATGGAGGACCTGGCAAAGCATCCTTCATCAGATAGCCTTCATCAGAGGTAGAAAATACAGGCTTTGATTAAAGAGACACTGTTGGACAGCCACCCTCTGCTTCACCATGCTTGACTTCTTAGCTGAGAACAATAACTGTGGGCAGGCAATTCTTAGGATTGTTTCTTGTGGAAATGCGATAATTGCGGAATTCCTCAGACTCTCCGAGTTCATTCCAGGTGTGTTCCGGCTCAAAGACAAGGCTGATCAACAGAAGTATGGTGATATCATATTTGATTTCAGCTATTTCAAGGTAAGAAATTAACTTTCTCCAAGTGCTCTTTAAGCATCTTGTTCCATACTAGGTTGTTTTTCCATATGATTCGAAAAAGCAATTTTTGAAAGAATATCAAGTTAAATGATTTGTTCCTAACCAGCTAAAGTTAATTATTCCCTCTGTTTCTAACGTTCAGAAGAGTGAGTCCTCTGTAATCAAAGCATCAGCATCCCTACCTAAGAAGGAGTTTTTGGCAAGCTAAAGGAAACTGAAAGGTTTACAAATTCCAGTCCAACACTTTCATTTATTGCATATTAATATTAGTTTTATGGGCAGTTCATTTCTAATCATATACTCATCTTAGGCCAGATTATAGCTAAGATTACTATTTCAGACAGACTTTGAGAGGAAATGGATGTTTTCTGGTTTTATCAAGTGTATCAGCTTCTGCATATTTGCATTCTACACTGCTCCACTTCAGCATTTAGTCCAGAAGTGGACAAAGTACCATTGTCCAGATGTTGGTGGACCAGATCTTCCATCAGTCCTAGTCAACATGGCTATTGGGGACAGTGTTTAGAACACTGGTCCCCAACTTTGGGCCTCCAGATGTTCTTGGACTACAACTCCCAGAAGGCTTCACCACCACCTCTGCTGGCCAGGATTTCTTGGAGTTGAAGTCCAAGAACATCTGGAGGCCCAAGGTTGGGGACCACTGCTTTAGAGGATTGTGGTTTTTCCTCGTTCATCTTTTGGGCTGTAACTTGGAGGTTAAAGTCACAATCTCAGTGGTTATGCCATACTTAATGCTTTCAAAATGATGGTGATAACAACATTCAGAATCTTAGAATGGCAAACCCAAGGAATAGATCTCTCACATTAAAAAAGTGACTTGTAATTTATTGGTTATAGCTGACAGTTTAAATTATACACCCATATTTTTTCTAAATATGAGGAACCTTTGGTTGTTCCTACAATCTGTGTGTGAGAGGGAGAGAGAGAAAGATACAGTATATATAACCAAGAAACTGGAATAATTGGTTTATTTCAGCTACCTTATCATGAATTCCCAAATAATTCTACACAGAGGTAAGCCCTTTTGCCTTAAATGGAACTTGCTCCACGCTAATGTGAGTATATAAACGTAAGCAGATATAGACCACATTGAATCCCTTTTGAGAAAGTGTGTATGGGATTTTGCTATTAATATCTTTTTCATCATGGCTCCAGGATTTTAAACACTGCTTTAGCCCATTCACAGCCCCACTGCATATGATTAAAATCATTTATTCCAGAAATATTTTTAAGGCTGTTGCCAGTACTTTTTCTGCCTGTCTGCCATGCTATTACAAAATCACAGAATTCAAAACTTGGATGTTCAGAATGCAATATTCCTCTTTTTCTACTTTTTTCATTAGGTTATCTTAAAATTATTATTATTATTATTTCCTCTGCCCAGGGACCTGAGGCTTGCGAAGGAAGGTTGGAAGCTAAACCAGAACTCCAGGATCTAGATGACGAATTTCGTGAAAACAACATTGAAATCTTGACAAGATTTTATCAAGCCTTCCAAAGTGTCCATAAATATATAGTTGATTTAAACCGGTAATTGATTACAGTCGCTTTTAATAATTTTGGTCTCTGTATTCCTGTTATAGTCTTTCTTCTAAGACATCGTTTGTTTGTGTTTATACCAGTATTGTACAATGGCATCCACACTCTGTCAAATTATGCTCATGTGTGAGTCAGCGAAAGAATTGCAAGAGTTACAAACAGTGACCTAGTTTTTTTAAAAAAAAGCATGAGCAGCATTAAATTTCAGATGCTGAGGATAACAACAGTATTTTATGAGCTGGATGACACCTGCCTTGATGGCAATACATATGCAAAGAATCTGGGGCCCTAGTAGACCAGAAGCTAGACACTGTATAAGTCAACAGTATGATATGCTGGCAGAAAAAGCCACTGCAATTCTAGTATACATCAGCAGGGGTCAGTGTCCTGGTCAAGGAAACTGTTAGTATCAATCTGTTCTCCTTGCAGGGGTCAGTGTCCTGGTCAAGGAAACTAACTGTTAGTATCAATCTGTTCTCCTTGGCCAGACTTCACCTAGAGTCTTATGTCTTATTTCTCTAGAATTTAAAGAGTGCATTGCCTAGTTGGAATGTATCCAGAGAAGGGCAGTCCGGGCAATAAAGGGCTTGGAAACCAGGCCTGTGAGGAGCAGCTGAGGAAGCTTGCATGTTTAGGTTGGAGAATATGTGAAGGCCTGCCCTATAGAATAAAATAGGGCTTATTACCAGAAGCTACTCATGTATGGAAAGAACCAGCTCTTTGCATGAACAACAGTCTCTCCGGTCCACTGAATTTTCCAAATCAAGATACACTTAAGAAAAAAACTATTCTGTATCCATGACAAGCGCACTTTGCTAATTATTGCCGCTTCAGATATTATTTTTTTTCATCATTTGTATCATATGTAGGTATCTGGATGACCTCAATGAAGGGGTTTATATTCAGCAAACCTTGGAAACGGTGCTGCTTAATGAGGATGGGAAACAGCTGTTGGTAAGCACTTGGCATTCTGTGTCTCTGCTGAATTTTGGACCACAGTCCCACGGATGCTTAGTTGGGTAGGAGCTCCGTTGAACTCAATAGGATTTATTGATTGATTGATTTGATTTGATTTGTACCCCGCCCATCTGGTCCACAAGACCACTCTAGGCGGCTTCCAACATAACGCAAAATAGTGAAATAACAGAAGATATGACATAAATTATACAATAACAGATGCAAATAGAAGAACAGAATAAGAGATAAATAAAGGAAAAATGAGAAGAAAGAATCAAGTATTGACTGGAGGGAATTTATTTCCCTATAAATGTGCACCAGATGGCTCTAAATATGTAAATAATTTAAGATTCTTGCAGGAGAGTGTTTTTTTCCCCTGCTTGTCCCCTCTTCTTTTTAAAAAAAGAATTTATTTTAGAAACCCCTTGAAACTCCTTAAAGGACCCAGATTGTTGGGAGAGTCATGTGTCTCTGTTCCGTCTCTGCCTGAGAATCATGAGCACTGGAGGTTCACCTGCTAAAAATGTCTCTGCGTCCAGAGGGGTGACAGGTCACTTCCAGGAGATGAATCTTTTCTTGGGAGCAGACCTTCTTTGTAAAATCCTCTCCCAGAGGGATTCTTCTTGTGGTATTTTTGCTAGTCTTTTGGTGCCAAGTGAGCACATCCTATCTTTGACATCTTTTGAAGTTGGTTTCATGGACATGCTTTTGGTGGGGATAAAAGAACATGCAGCCTTCCCATAAGCTCTAGTGGAGGATTGTGGGAATTGCAGTCCAACAGCATCTGAAGGGTCACCGTCGTCCACCCTGGTTTACAGCTAGAGGCTGTGTGTGTGTGTTTTTAATATTGGAGCATTCATTTTTTGTTGCATTAATGCATGATTTGCTGCGTGGCAAATGAGCGGGCCCTCGCGAGGGTACATGAGGGCCCCCTTCCCCATCTATGTACCCTAGTTTTGTCACCACCATGGCTGTTCGGCAGCTGCCCCAGAGTTCCTGCCGAAATTTTGTGTTAAGCACTGCAAGTTTTTTATGAAGACGTAGAGTTTGCTTCCATTCTAGAAGAGAGGTGTAAACACGGCTCGGGTGCTGCAGCCGAACTTCAGTGGTGTGGCAAAGCTTGGAACATTGGGTGTGAATGCTAATTCTGTGTTTTTAAGTATTACATGTGGGGTAATGGTTTCCTTAAAGTTTTAAAATGAAAGCATTTAATTTGCTGAATTAACTTTATTCATTTATTAGTTTTAAAATACACAGCTGGGTTTACTGGAGAATAATGTATAGGTTCTCCCAAGTGACCCCTTCTAAGTGGAGGACAAGAGAGGATTGATCACTTTAGGATTCACTTTGGATTCCCCCCCCCCCGAGAGTCTTCAGGATCCCTCACACAATTACCATGGAGTCTCAACTTACGGTCGGCTCCACTTACGTACTTTTCGACCTACTGACTTCTCCGGCCGCAAAATTTAACTTTGACTTGCGGCCGGAGAATCGACCTATGGACCAGAAGGGGGAATTTGGCACTTTCCCCGCCTCCACCTTCCAGTCCGTAGGCCGTGCCTCTGGATGCCTTGCAGGGCTTCTCCGCCACCATGGGAGGCATCTCGGAGGTCCCCGCCGCCGCCGATAGTGCTTTGGAGCCACTATCGGTGGCAGGGGGGGGACCTCAGAGATGCCTTTCATGGCGGCGGAGAAGCCCTGCAAAGCATCCAGAGTTCCCCTGCGCTGCTGCCACTGCTGGAAGCCGAGCTGCGCAGGGCAATCCCAGCCATGCTCCTGGAAGTCCGAGCATGGTGCCGGGCAATCCCAGCCATGCTCAGAGTCCAAGCATGGCCGGGATCGCCCGGCTTTGCTCCCAGCGGCGGCAGCAGCAGGGTGGGGGGCCTCCGGATGCCTTCCGAGGTCTCAAAAGGCTTTCCCCCCAACATTGGAGGAAACCCTTTGAGACCTCCAAAGGCTCCCAGCAACAGCGGCGGCGGCAGCGGGGGGGGCTCCGGATGCCTTCCATTGCTTCACCACCTAGAAGGCATCAGGAGGTCCCCCACCGCCGCTACTGGGAGCTGCGCCACGCCAGGCAAACCCAGCCATGCTCGGACTCCCAGGACTCCCAGCGCGGCTTGGGTCCCAGCAGTGGCAGCGGCGCGGGAACCTCCGGAGGCCTTCCCCGCCACCATGGGAGGCCTCTTGGATGTCCCCCCTGCCGCCGATAGTGTGTGTGTGGGGGGGGTTCTTGGGCGGGTTACGGATTAATGTGTTCTCAATGCATTTCTATGGGGAATGCGTTTTCAACTTGAGGACTTTTCAATCTACGGAATGCATTTTCGACTTGAGGACTTTTTGATCTACGACGTTCCAATATAGATTAATTCCGTAGGTCGAGACCTCACTGTAGCTAAGTGGGAAGGGTGACACCAGCTAATATACATTAAAATTATTAAAACTGGATTTCTCAAGTCCCACTTCAGTATCCTACAGTGTCCATATATATACTTTGACCCTTGTAACCATTATTATCAATGAACTTCTTCTCTTTATTTTGTTTGGATAGTGCGAAGCCCTTTACTTATACGGTGTCATGTTGTTGGTGATCGACCAGAAAATTGAAGGGGAGGTCCGGGAAAGGATGCTTGTTTCCTACTATAGATACAGGTACCTATGGCTTTTGTAACATTCTTGACGTTGAGTGTTAACACCCCTGGAGAACATCTGTTCTGCTAAGAATATTGTCGTGCCTAAGAGCATCCAGTGTTATGTCACTCTTTGGCCAAAGACGCTCAAAGTTGTATGTGACTGTATTAAAATTTGTAGTAAGAATCGATTGAATGATTGCAATAACATGTGTTAACACTAATTCTCAAAATTAAGGTACTTAAGATTTGTGATTAGAGAGTTAGTTTATCAGCAGCATTGATGCAGAAAACTCAGTTATTAAAAGCCTGATGGAGAAGAGTGACCTTAAATGTCCATTTTCTAGAAAAGGAGGGTGTAAAAGTCAGATGTACCATATTTTTCCGTGTATAAGATGCCTCCATCCCCACTTTTCTAACCCAAAATTAAGAAATCTAAGTGGGGCTTAGCAAGTGGAGGGGAAAACAGGGATCAAAGCCCTGCAGGATCACTTTGATCCCTGCTTTCCCCTCCACTTGTTTTTATTCTCCTCAGCTTACTTCCGTGTATAAGACTACCATCAATTTTTAGTCTAAAGATTTTAGACAAAAGTATAGTCTTATACATGGAAAAATACGGTATTTCCTCAGATAGGAAGCTCCACCTGCCATGTGCTAGGACTAAGAAGCCCCTGACCTGTAAACTCCCCTAATCTGATTTTTGTTAATGGTAGAGCATCCAATAGAGAGCCCTAGAAAGACCTCAGAGAAAGGACTTGAACTAGAAAGTGCTGGGCTTACATTTTGACTTGTGTGGCAAAATGTGGGAAACTTCTGTTTTTGACTTGCAATCTGCAGAACACGTACAGCTGTAATGGTCCTCAGAGACTGTGGCAGTTGTGCTCCTGAAAAGTAACTTTTCCAAGCCCTATCACTATGGCATATTGAATGTATTTTAGCGTGCATCTTTTCAAAGAATTTCCTGCATTCGCTTCTGAGTTTGCATTGTTCTTTGCCCAGTTCCTCCTTCTGAAGTTTTCTTTCCCCATTTGTGGTCTAGCGCTGCCCGCTCTGCGGACTCCAACATAGATGATATATGCAAGCTGTTTCGGAGCACCGGCTATTCAAGCCAGCCTGGAGCAAAGAGGCCCCCAAATTATCCCGAGAGTTACTTCAGCAGGGTTCCCATTAATGAAACCTACATCAGCATGGTCATCGGCCGCCTGAGATCAGATGATATCTATAACCAGGTGAGTCACCGCAGGCCATAGGTTGATGGGGAGGAGAGGGAGTGCCACGAACCCCATATCCCTTGTTTATGAGCCCCTCACGAAGGCCCACAGGTGTGTTCCCTTTATGCTGCCACCATTGGATTATCTGAATCCACGATATCATTAATGTATGACTGGACACTTGACTTGTCAACAAACAAAATGTATTTATTGAAGTGAAACAGTATTAGAAATCTTTCAGGTAATCAAGGTTCATTGTCTTAGCTTATCAGTTCCCTCATTACTTTGTTTCTTTTTGTTTACAGTTTCATAAACACATCCCCAACCTATCTTTTCCTAGCCAGTTCCTTTTGTCTCCTCATCAATTCCATAACCGGTTCCTATTTCATCCCTATCTCACTCCTATTTCTATCTGATTCCTCTCTGATCCCTGTCTGACTGCTCCTCCTTCAGCCAAACCTCTCCAGCTCTCTCCTAGGCTCGTGCAAATAAACTCTTGAATATGAGTGGCAGGAATGACAGGGCCAATCGCCATAGGGAGCATGGATGTCCATTCCTTCATTTTGCTGTGCTCCTCCATTACAATATTTTGCAGTACAGTAGGACTGCTGTATCCACAGGTTCAGTAACCATGGGTTCACTTATCCACTGCCTGAAAATATTAAATTTTAAAACCCAGAAATAAGCATTTCCAAGATGTATTACCAGAATTGGCCGCTAAAGGAAACCCAGGACTGTGATATATACTGCATGTAGGAGTGGCTATGTTTCCAAGATGTATTACCAGAACTGGCTGCTAAAGGAAACCCAGGACTATGATATATACTGCATCTAGGAGTGACCTGGACTCACAAAGAGAGTATGGCTCAATAAGAAGTTGATGGCATACACCAAGATCCAGGTCTATAGAGCCTGTGTCCTGAGCACACTCCTGTACTGCAGTGAGTCCTGGACCCTTTGTGCATGGCAGGAGACGAAGCTGAACACGTTCCATATGCATTGTCTCCGACACATTTTTGGTATCACCTGGCAGGACAAAGTTCTCAATAGAGTAGTCCTAGAACGAGCTGGAATTTTTAGTGTGTATACATTACTGGAACAGCGACGTCAACGTTGGTTTGGGCACGTCATGAGAATGGCTGACAGTCAGATTCCAAAAGATCTCCTGTATGGAGAATTAGTGCAGGGAAAGCACCCAGAGGGAGACCACAGCTGCGATACAAGGATATCTGCAGGCGGGATCTTAAGGCCTTAGGAATGAACCTCAACAGGGGTTAAGCCTGGAGGCAGGCGTTGCATCACAACCTCTTCCAATTTGAAGAGACCCTTGTCCAGCAGGCCGAGGCAAAGAGGCAGTCCTGAAACCAGAAAAATCGGAGCTGGACGGGATGGATTGTATTTGTCTTCAGTGTGGAAGGGATGGTCACTCTCAAATTTGCCTTCTCAGCCACACTAGACGCTGTTCCAAGTCCTCCATCCAGAGCACATGACCTTAGTCTCTCGAGACTGAAGGATGGCTATACTAGGAGTGACCGTATCCATGATTTCCATCATCTATGGGGGAGGGGTGCTTGGAACCAACCCCCTCTGCGGATAGGATGGTCCAGCTGGACCTCTTTCCTCCTTCTCATCCTGCTTCTACTGCATCCTGCCTTTTGTAGGTGTCCGCATATCCATTACCAGAGCACCGCAGCACCGCCCTCGCTACTCAGGCTGCCATGTTGTATGTGACACTTTATTTCGAGGCGTCCATTCTTCACACGCAACAAGCAAAAATGAGAGAAATCGTGGATAAATATTTTCCAGATAACTGGGTGAGTGTTTATGACCATTGTTATTGTTGTGGCTTGAAGTGAGAAGATAATATTAAAATAAATAAGAAGGTGCACACACAAAAAAAAGTGGGGAGCACCTTTCTTGCCCGTCTTTTTCTCAGACGCTTTTGTGCATTTAATTACCACACTGTTGAAAACAAAAGAAGGCAAATTAATGGTCATGGAAGCATTAAAAAGTTTCAAGCAGTGGCCCTGCCAAGTTTGAAAGGTTGCCCTCTGCCATTCTCCCCATACACATGCCCTACTAAGCAATGCTCTAGTCTGCTTTCTCCATACTGCTATCTCGGTTACTTATCACCCACCCTCTTTCTTAGTTGAGAGGAATAAGTTGACCTTTTTGTCCACAGGAAGCCTGCAGTCCAAGCAGTTTTGGGTCACTTGTCCTGAAATGTTGAGTTAGGCACCTGTCGTCCCAGCTGCTCAACAATCGCAAACAACCCCCTACCTCTCGCTTATTAAAAAAAGTTTTTGGAAGAAGTTGTATGATGTACTCTACAACTTTTTAGCCATTCTAGTTGGCACTTCTAAGACCCTGTAGTCTGAAAAAGTACAATTTCTGAGCTCTGGACTACATTCACCGCAAACATTTCACAATGTCTTGATTCCAAACCAGTGCTTTGCTTTCTGTTCACAGGTTGTTAGCATTTACATGGGAATCACTGTCAATCTAGCAGAAGCTTGGGAGCCTTACAGAGCTGCAAAGACTGCACTGAACTACACGTTGGATCTTTCAAATGTTAAGGAACAGGTAGACAAACAGCCTGTAAAGATTTGCATGAAAAGTCAAAGTGGGATTTTGTTCGGAATAGTATGTCTACAAAGCTTCCTGCCATCCAGGATGGCCAGATGATGAGAACTGTAAGAAGACACAACTAGAGTATACTGCCTTGGAGGTGGTTGGGGTTTAAGAATGAGCACTGTCAAAAAAAAGCCATACCATTTTTAAATTCAAGTTATATAAATAAGTTTTTATAAACTGTTCACATCACTGAAAGTCTTGCCCTCGGGTGTCTCTGCATAGCCTATTTGTGTTCATCTGATCTTTTTGATTTCTGTCTTCAAAGGCGAGCAGGTATGCTGCCGTCATGGCACGTGTTCACACCCAGGTGCAGCAGTTTCTGAAGGAAGGCTACCTGAGAGAGGAACTGGTTCTTGACCACATCCCCAAGCTGCTGAACTGCTTAAGGGACTGCAATGTGGCGATCCGGTGGCTGATGCTTCATACAGCAGACTTGGGTAATCCTTTGTCTTCGATGGGGACTCTGCATTTCCTCTCAGTTTAGAAGCAACTCACAAAAATAGTAGGGAGAAATGTCCTGGGTTGTTTCAGACTGGGTCATTCTTCCAGTAAACCCAATGAAATAAAAAAGGTTTCAATTATTCATTATGTATAGATTTCCGTTATTAAATATGAACCAGTGTGGAACCAACACACTGAAAAGAGCAACAGATGAGAGAAATTGCAAGCAAAGCCAGCAGTAAAATAGTTAAAGCATCTGAAGTCAGAGGTGTCATAAAACATAATAATGGCAGACATTTAAAAACAAGATGGAAACAGGGGAGTCATGTAAAATTTCATTGAACAGCAATAATAATAATAACAATAATAATAATAACAACAACAACAATAAGTTGTTGTTGTTGTTG